GACAGGATGAAAGCCGTGGAAAAACGAGCTACAATCCAGGATGGAAAGGTGGGGGGGACAGTGATAAACGGAGTGTTAAACGTGGGAGGGCGCTGGTGCCTGTGAGGTAGTTTTGACCTAATGTTACGACTGACTGTCGAGCGAGTAAGTGGAGACGAGCGAGGCAGGCAGGAGCGCTGACGAGCTCTGATCGCAGTGAGACTGGAGCGGAGCTCAACAGGCAGGACTGGAGACAAGTTGTGTATTGAGCAAAGTATCTACAGAGCAAAATACACGATGGCTTACCTGGAGACAAGAGGTCGAAACTAGAGTCTCCAGGTAGCAAGGGATCCAGCTATATACAGGGAACGAACAATGGGCGCTAGAGAACAATAGTGTCGCCATGGGTACGGAGTACAAGGGGTGTAGGACAATAGCGGACGTGGGGACAAAGGGAGCTATTGTCCGTGTGTGGACAAAGGGAAACCGTAGCAAGTAGTGAACAATAAGGAAACGTACGAGGCAGTGGTCCGAATCGAAAAGGAAACGTAGCGCCGTGAGGGCGGTTCGTGACACTCTATGGCGAAGGAGAGAAGGCGTTCCGCCGGCTACTAGAGGAGATCGTGCGGCGGATCCCGGACCAGAGTGTCTTTGCATATGGAGACGTATACGTGGATCTCGAGCGCGACCAGGTGCTTGCAGACTCGCTGAAGAATGCCACAATGCTGAATTGCAGGCGACTAGATGAAAGTAAGGGACGATTTCTCTTTGACTGCGGTCTGGACGACTTCACAGGCTCCGGAACGATCAAGGCCATCCCTCACGACGATGTGTTGGGCCGGCTCAAGCTTTCTGTGAAACTCCCGGCTCAGAAGTATACCTTCACCCCGCATGGCATACGCACAACACTGCCTGTCGTACCGGTCTCGAGTTGTCCTCCTCCGTACATCCTAGAGCGATCTTCGTCAGATGCTCCGTGGTCCCAATGGTATCTGATGATTCTCGGCTGCGAACACGTCGATCATCCTGGTGGTCTTCTCGGGCGCATCTGCTACATCCCTCCTTCCGCTGCTGGGGTGGAATACTTGCACTGTGGATATATGTACATTCTCCCAAAGCCAAACCGGGGCACTCGGTTTCCTCGCCTCTTCCCGCTGTCGCCGGCAACCATCGAGCGCTGTCGCAATGTCATCCAGATAAAGACCGTCTATATCTCCCACCCGGAGCGCACTGCCGCACGATCAAAGAACGCTCGTGATGAGCCACACGAGACCATCAATCTCATGTTACGGAAGGCGACGCGCGATGCTCTCCGCGCCCAAGGGTACAAGGCCGAACTCCGAGGTCCAGATGAGGGCCACCCGACCACTCACTGGCTTACGCTTTCCAACGACGACTGCACGATTTCCATCGAGTACCAACATATGTTGGAGGAAGGTTGGTTGTTGAGGATCGGGGCGGACGTGAAGATGTCGCGACGCGCTCTTGACACAGGGGAGGATGTCGAGGCGGATCCTAGTTCTGTGAGGTGGAAGGATTCCAACCCGTGGTACTCATCGCTATCCACGAAAGAAGTCTCCTTCACCCTCGCAGGAAAGAAGCTTGCCTTGAAGCTCGGCTTTGACTGGGCGGCGCTGTCGCACTACTTCCTACGCGTCGAGGTTGTCGAGGTTGTTGAGGTTGTCGAGATGGAGGAGGCCACACCTGCAGTGATGCTCGAGTGGGAAGTGGACGAAGACCATCGGTATTTCCGGAACCAACGGCGAAGCAGACGTGCAAGGCGTCATGGTCGAGCTCCTGAAACCCCAGTCGTCGCGGACCTGGGGGCCGATGACAATGCGCACCCTGGCGCACCCGAGTCGGACGACATTGCGAGTCAGCCAGAAATGCAAAGTGGGGAGAGGACCAATGGGGTTGACTAGGTCGATGGTGGAGGCGAAAGAGGTGCGCCCCGTTGATGTGACGGTGTTCCGGGCGGGCTTGGGCCTCGGATGACGATTTTCTCGGTGGTTCACGTTCGCTTTGGGGTTCTCTTTCCTTGAGTACCCATGTGGTAGTGTTTCATCAGCTCGTTTTTGCCATGTAACTTGTCGTAGTCACGTATCATCGCCTGTGCCTGTAGAATCATTGAGTATGTAGTTGAATTGAGACAGAGAACGGTATGCACGCACCTCTTGTTCCAACTGTCATCGGGATGATCAATATGGAGATGCATATGTTGCAGCACCTTTATGCGAGGCACTCAATTGCGTTCCCCATGCGAAGCATCGCGATGGAGGCAGATTGAGGCCCACAATCTCCGGCCCAACCGAATGAGCTCAAAGCACGCGGGGCAAGGCAAGGGTGGTGGGATGTAGTAACGCATGTATTCGGTGCTCCACAAGTGACATTTCTACACCGCACATCATACGCGTGTCGAACAGTAACGATGACCTCTTCGATAGTTGTGGATCAATCGACATTAACCTACACGGCCGCAGGCAAGAAGCAAAACGTAGACAACACGCCTGTACAGGCGCGCTGCTCTATAACTCTGACAGAGCGACCCTACACACCATTCCACCATACGCCGCGCAGACGGGGGTGAAAAGGGACGACTCACCATCTCGAGTTCTACCGTCCACTGTCCACCGCAAGACGGTCACAAACAATATGACCTTTGAGCTCTATTGCACAGTTCGATAGGGTGCAGCCGGACAGGAAGGGGGAGGAGCGACAAGCGGGCTGAGAAGGGAAGGCGGGGGAGGGCAGGGTCCGTGATAGAGTAGGCAAGGCAAACACGGATGCGGGCGGGACGCCGTTGTCCGTGCCGGGTGAGGCTGTAAAGACCGAGTGTTGGTCGTGAAGCGTGAGGACCTGTGAGATGAGGTGCAAGTGATCAGAAGATGGCATTCGGAGGTGTCACGAACTGCCCCCACGGGGCTACGTTTTCCTTTTCAATTCGGACCACTGCCTTGTACGTTCACCCCTTGTTCACTACTTGCTACGGTTTCCCTTTGTCCACACACGGACAATAGCTCCCTTTGTCCCCACGTCCGCTATTGTCCTACACCCCTTGTACTCCGTACCCATGGCGACACTATTGTTCTCTAGCGCCCATTGTTCGTTCCCTGTATATAGCTGGATCCCTTGCTACCTGGAGACTCTAGTTTCGACCTCTTGTCTCCAGGTAAGCCATCGTGTATTTTGCTCTGTAGATACTTTGCTCAATACACAACTTGTCTCCAGTCCTGCCTGTTGAGCTCCGCTCCAGTCTCACTGCGATCAGAGCTCGTCAGCGCTCCTGCCTGCCTCGCTCGTCTCCACTTACTCGCTCGACAGTCAGTCGTAACATTAGGTCAAAACTACCTCACAGGCACCAGCGCCCTCCCACGTTTAACACTCCGTTTATCACTGTCCCCCCACCTTTCCATCCTGGATTGTAGCTCGTTTTTCCACGGCTTTCATCCTGTCGCCGTAGAAG